ACAGCTCATTTCTTTAAGATTACACTATCCACTCTACTTTTAAAGTATACAAACTCTATGACAAGAATATTTCTTCCGTATTTAGCTTCACCTTAGCAGTGCATGGTTTCGTTACGTCAAAGTTTTCCCCTAAAGTAGAAAAGACCCACTTAACATGAGCAAACATAAAAACAGTACCATGTTTTGAAGTATGAAAAATTCAAATGAATGTGTCTTAACTCTTAAAATAAAATGATAAATGTTCATTCAATTACTCATCCTTGAATTTTAGAAAACTAAGATTGTTATGTATTATAAATTAAATGTAAGAATAAACAACCATGAGCTTTTCAAATGAACCCTAGGAGCTGAAAACACTTGCTGAAAATCACTAGCCTTATCAAAAGAAAACTTGAAGTGGAGTTAAAAAGATAGAAATGTGAAGTGGACAGTGAACAGTGCGTTTTAAATGATGCTAATGCCATAAAAACGTAATCACATGTGAAGTGTCTTCTACCAATGAAAATATCTGTCACACTCACATGCAAAACAGAACCAGAAAAGTTTATCACACTTCAAGAAAACAGTGACAAATGATTGAAAATAACAGGGGAATTGTCCTTATAGCTGCTTTACATTACCTTACCATGGTTAAAAACTAATCTAATCACTAACAAAATTGGTTATCTTGGGCAACTAGGATCACTAACTTGTACCAATTTGATCTATCTATTCCGTTGCATGACAATGACATAATTTCTCCTTCGAAGTAGAAGCTTATGAGCAGTGGTACTCTTAAAATGCACAGAATAAATGGTAAGAAATCAGTCCCTTTAGTGAATGAAAGTGTTACACAGTTTTGATAAGAACCTTTGCTTTCTATCTTGTGAAAGGAATATATGTCCAAGAAGTCCACATACAAATTAATGGAGCACCCGTGAATGACTCCACTACAAACAAATGCAGCAAAGGGTCCACAAAAAGTGACACATTGCGTTAGTTCCTCAAACTTGCAGAGTATTTTTTTGGGCAGTGTAAAGTGGGGGTGACAATAAAATCATATAGAAAATATAAAAAACCAAACAATTGGGTTTCCCAATGTAGAGAACAACTAAAATGTATCAAAACCAGATATGTGAAGAAGCATGGTGATATAATACAGTTGCAACTTGCAATGAGTAAATTTTAGTGTAAGAAAAATATATGAAACCCTCAACACGGTTTTCTTACTAACAATTCTTCTACCTTCTCTCCATCTTGCCAAATATTTTAATTATAAACAGTGAAATTAGGAAACTATAAATCCTAATAAGCATTGTCTTTGAGCATACAATGTTAAATGTCTCTCCCACTCCCCTTCACATCTCAAAAGAAAACCAGATTATATGATGGATGAAACCAACCAAAACAAAATCATCCACACTTAATCACTACCTCAAAAGCGCTCAAATGGAAAGTTATTTACACAACCGTCTAGACTTTTCTATTTTCCGGTGCCATTTAAAGACACCAAAATGTTACATTGGCTTGCTCAGAAGTCAAACAAAGTGATGGTCCAATTTCTTCTTTCACATGAATTCATCTGCTCCAAATTACACTGACTATAGTCTCAAATAATGAACTTATTATTGGGATGTAGCTAGACATGATTAAACATAAAGTTACAAGGATAATACTTTTTACTGCATGCACATGAATGGAATGACAATGTCATGTCACCAACTAACTCTACAACCATAAACATAATACATGTCATGCACTTCATATAAATAGTACATGGTAGAGTGGAGAGCTTCTGTGAAACTAAAGAAAATGCCTCAGCTTGTGGAAAAGTTCATCAAACATACAACAAAACCACTCTTCTTCAATCCCACTTTTTCTTTCTCCTTGACACCAACAATATAAAGCATACAGACACCCACCATCCTTGCCACAAGCAACACAAAAGAAATGGCTGAATTTCCACCTGTAGAAATAGGCACCAGAGGCACAGTTGGGTCCCTTCTAATGCAAGAAATTGAGTACTTTAGCCGGCTTGAACTAAATTCCAATGGCTGGTCACAGAACAACAAATCTCAAACCATCAACATGGGTTCCTCAGTTAGCACTGATTCCAGACCCTCAACTGTATCCAGAGTAGAAACAAGAAAGAAAAAGCGAGGAAGTAGCAAGCTCTTGCCAAGCATGTGTTCTATGGTCGATATAATAGACAGTAGTAAGCCAAATGTAATTTCTGCTTTCAGCTACAAGAACCTGAAGTCTGACATACAATTCCAGCTTTAGGTAATGCTCTCAGAGAGCTTTGAGAAACCCAACTTCTTGAGAGAATTTGTGATAGGTGTGGCCCAAGCTTTATCTGCATAACCACACTTGATGTCCACAACTTCCACAAATTTAGATTTTTTCTTCTTATCCTTTTTCTTCATAACTGGACTTGCCTCCAATGGAAGGGTGTGGGAACCAAGCATGGGTAGTTGATGGGTATGTTTGCCATTATGTTTTGTTTTGGGGCCAATCCCTGAGCTTATATGGTTTGTAACATTACTACTAGTACTACTACTACTACTACTGGCTTCAAATGATTTTCTTGGTTGTGGTCGTTTCGGCGTAGCACTACCACTTGAAACTGAAATTCGAGGTTTACTTGTTGAAGATAGATCCTGCTGTGGAACACCAGACATCTGATCCAATTCCTTTGTCATCAATAAGCTGATTGTTCCAGTGGTTCCTACGGTAATGGATCCTTCATCACCCTTAGTGCCTTCCATGCTTCTTTTAGCTACAATCAAACTCCCAAATGTTCAAAGCTCTGATGGATATAGCCAGATAATCTGTTATACATGTAAATGGTGCATTCAGATCAACAACTCCTAGTCTTTCATTTACCAGTTCACAATTCAAATATAAATGTTTCCATCAGAGTCAACAAAACATGCAAACAGCATAAGAAAATCAAAATTAGCAAGTAGCTTAGATTACCATTTAGAAATTCACAGTTGAAAGTGAATGGAAAGATGAATAAACAAGTGATAAACATCATATCTTACAGCAAGCAAGAAGGGTTGCAAAGGGTATAATGTGTCACCAAGTTCACACTAGCAAAGCATCATCGAATCAACCACTGCATGGCTGCTTGAGATGCAAATCACAAAACACAAAAATCCATTTTCCATAAACAGCAGAACTGAGTAGGGCAAGCAAATAAAGAATGCTTTATTGGGAGAAACAAACACAAATTAGAATGCACATTGTCACGATACATCATGTGGCATCTCTCAACCACAAGACACCAACCACACATAAATTTAAAATATCAATTTGAGGATGCCAACTACACTACTCTTCGTGCATTTATGACTATGGGCCTGCTTAAGTAGATCTCTGTAACCACTTACAGAAGAGGAAAATAAAAAGAACAAAAAGAAATAAGTTGCGGTAGTTCAAACTATCTTATGCGTAAGTTAAAACTCTGATTTTGGAGAAGTTAATATGAAAGAGCCATTATAAATTAACTTATGGATAA